GCTTGTCAGGTTTAGGATGTGGCCCCTTTTTAGGGGCCACAGAAGGAGTGAAGGACATCTGAGGCAGTTATGTAACAATAAATGAATTAAGGGTTTGGGTGTGGCTAAGACAAGACAATGGGAAATTCCAGCATATCAACTGTAATTGTATTCCTTTCTTCTCCACTCAATCCCTATCCAGTTTGGCTCAGTGGATAGAGTGTTGGCCTGTGGACTGAAAGGTTCCGGATGCTATGCCGGTCAAGGGCACATGCCCAGTTGTGGGCTCGATCCCCAGTAGGGGGCGTGCAGGAGATAGCCAATCAATGGTTCTCTCTCATCATTGATGTTTCTATCTCTCTCTCCCTCTCCCTTCCTCTTTGAAATCAATAAAAAATGTATTTTTTAAAATAAATTATAATAAAATGAAAGCAAGTGAGAGGAGGTTATTCTTAGCAATAATGTCCTCTCCCCTACCCAAAAAATAAGTCAATCATCTAGAAAATGGTGCTTTATCATTTAAAAGACATGAGTTGTGACTTTGGTATTTGAAAACTCTTCCACCCACCAATCTGTAAGATCCTCCTATCCTATCGTATTAAGATTCAGATAAAGAAGAAAGTGTTGCCTTGTATCATTACAAACATCTTTCCCATCCCCACTGCCTCATCCCCACTTTGATGTGTCCTGAGGATGCAACACAAACCATGACAAGAACCTCACCCGGCAAAACAGGAAAAGAACTGAAGAACACTGAGAGCTTTGATAGGTCCATAAACTACCATCCTCTCCGCATCAGAAACTGAATTGCCTTACACACAGCTCTCCGGGGCCTGCATCACCTGACAGAAGGAATTATCTTCTGTTGTATGGATAGGAGAGGGGCTCGTCTCCCCCGATTACTAGTGGAAGTGGGGTTCTCGGGGTCCTGCTGGAATAAGAATTTCTGGAGACCCCAACTGGAGGATGAGATATGGCAATAAATTTTATTTTCATGAAATTAAACCCCTGGGTTTCCAAAGTCCCATTTCCCATACTGCAGGCATAGAAGACGTGTGTGTAGCTGGGGCTTCAGTAGAGCTAAGACCAGAGCCAGGGTCCAGAGTTTCCTTTCCATATTGGAGCCAGGTCCAGTCTAGCATCAGGCGAGCTTTGTGTTTTCCCACTGCAGTCCACTAGCCCATTGTGTGTGGGGTCCACATGGCCATGGGCTATAAGGGTGAAATCAAGAGAGCCAAGAGTCACAAGAGTCAAGGCCAAGCATGCAGAGAGCAACAAGAGAGAGAATTCCTTTGTTTAGAGGATTATGTATTTCCAATGTCTCAAGGGCTTGCAGTGGCCACGCCCATTCAGGCCAACCATCTCTGTACCCAGGTGTGATTGACAGGCACCTTCGCTAGTCACCCCAACTTTACTGGGCATGCATCTATCTTCTCTTTGTTGGATCCCTTGCCCCAGCGTTTTGCAGGGAGTAGGCTGGTGCTCCCTGGGGAACGTGAAATTGCAGCTTCCTGGTGAAGCTGCCCAAATGAGCGAGCCTATAACATCTGACCTTCCCCTTGTTCCTTTCCTATTATTAATAACTAGCTAATTACAACAGTTTCAATGGTATTTATTAACCACAAGTACCTGGCTAAGTGAATCCACTATTAAAATCTCAATAGCAGCAAAGCCAAGAAGTGATCCTAGAACAAGGTACTTCATTTCACCAGAGAATCTCTGACTACAGATTTCCCCCCAGCCCGATCCAGCTTGCTCATATCTCCAACAGAAATGGGGGGAGAGAATGTAAACAACTCTGACTTGCATGGTTCCACACTAGCAAAATGACCCAAAGGTGATACCAACAACTCAATGATTCGTTCATAATTTAAGTGAGAAAAGAAGTCTGTCAACCGGAATGTGCTTGGCATGGAGAAGGGGATCCTGGCTGTGTTATCCTCAGACTAGAGTTATTTCAGTATCATCTTATTCTCTTCCTGATCCCAAAGATAAATATTTTTAAACCTCAATTTTAATAATAATTTCATTACAGGGAGAGTGTGGAAAATAGTATAGTAATATGCTATTTTTACAAAGCAGCCAGTGTGGCTCAGTGGTTGAGCATTGACCTATGAACCAAGAGGTCACAGTTTGATTCCCACAACCCAGGCTCAATCCCCAGTGGGAGGTGTGAGGAGGCACTTGATCAATGATTCTCTCTCATCATTGATGTTTCTATCTCCCTCTCTTTTCTTCTCTGAAATCAATAATAATATACTTTTAAAAAAGCAGAAGAATCAGATTCAAGGAAATTTTTATATTCCCAGATGTTTTCAAAAAGTTCTGATTCAGTTGGAAGTGAGGGGACTAGCAAGACTAGAAAACAAGGATCATCTATCTATTTTAATGGCTCCATATCCGGGCTGCTCTTTTCCCAATAAAACCCAAGAGACGGTGATCTAAGACCATTGAAATAGGTGGGAAATAAATAGAATCATAAACAATTTTTGACTAACTTTCCTTCACCAACTTCAACCAAGCATTGTTTATTAGATTTCAGTACAAAATGACAAATTCAGCCTACTTATTTATCTTCTCTTCCTCTATGGACCCCAATCTACATATATAAAAGGCTAAGTGACCAACTGTACGTACATCCAACCGTCCGACCAACCAACCAGCCAGTCCATATGATGCGCACTGGCAATTTAAAAATAAACATTGACTCGCACATGCACGATACATATAAAGCTCTCACTGGCACCAATCGCACACGTGTGTTTCGATATGTCATTGGCGATCGTGAATTTGGTGACACTGCTATTCTAGAGAAAGGGCGAATAGTGATATTAAGATATTTCTTCTAATTAATTTCCTTTCAATGTGCATGAATCCGTGCACCAGGCCACTAGTAAGATGATAATAAAATATTATCTAAAATGATAAAAGCACAATAATGAAAAGAACACGAGTAAGGACAGCCCAGAAACAAGTATTTCAACACCTATCTGGAATATGGACAGTGAGAAAGAATGCCATCTGCTAGAGCTGTAGCCCAAACAAGAGAGAAGGGGGCTTCTACAGATATGGGAAGCAGCTTGCCCAGCAGAAATCTAGAGACGCTTCAGATTGGGGACTGCAGGTAGAAGAAAGAGCAGGAGAGAGAGCTGGAAAAGGGGGATTAGTTGAAGACCTGGGTAGGAAACAGACACCATCTTGTCAGGCAGGATAACCTGCAGGCAGGCATTCACACCGGTGCCAGAAAGGAAAGCCCTCCTTCTTCTAATATTGTCAGAAGAAAAGACAGCTGGTTCATCTCCTTTTCACTATCCTTCTCACTATTAGGTAAAATTTCGAGCAGCAGATCTCTTTGACGCGCATAGCACACCATCAGCTATATAATTCCCTCGGTCTTAAAGATAAATGGGCAATAAATGGTCACCAGGAAACTGAGTGCAGCCTGCAGTATAACAGAGACCAAGATAAATAGAAAATTGTCCTCTACACAAAGAGAGGCTATTCAGGAAGCAGAAGAGAGCTTTTCGTGTCCTTAAGTAGAAAATATTGTATCCAAAGACCAAGAACATAATGTTTTGAAAAAAATAACCATCAGAAAATAAGAGTGTGCTTGCCCTGGCCGGTGTTACTCAGTGGTTATCAGCCTGCACACCGAAGGGTCCAGGGTTCAATTTGAGGTCTAGGGCATGTACCTGGGTTGCAGGTTGGATTCCTGCCCCGGTTGGGGTGCATGCGGGTGGCAACCAATTGATCTCTCTAAAAATCTGTAGAAAAAATATCCTTTGGGTGAGGATTAACAAAAACAAACAAAAACAAAAAAGGAGCGAAAAGTGTGCTTTTGAAAAGAATTTAAATAATTTCCCAAATACAAACTTTTTGAAAGCTTAAAGATAAAGCACAGGCACACTCTAAGAGGTGAAAAACAAAAACAACACAAAGGAAAATATGAAAGAAAAGATCATCAAAACTGAGAATCAGCCCTAACCGGTCTGGCTCAGGGGATAGAGCGTCGGCCTGCGGACTGAAAGGTCCCAGGTTCGATTCCAGTCAAGGGCATGTACCTTGGTTGCGGGCACATCCCCAGTAGGAGGTGTGCAGGAAGCAGCTGATCAATGTTTCTCTCTCATCGATGTTTCTCTCTATCCCTCTCCCTTCCTCTCTGTAAAAAAATCAATAAGATATATATTTTTTTAAAAAAACTGAGAATCAGCATAGGAAGTCCAATTATTAGGAATTCTAGGAGAAGAGGGGGGATTGTGAAAGAATTAAAACAAGAAAATTCTCCAGAGATTAAAGGAGATAGAAGTCTCCACCCTGGAAGGGTTTACCTGCTTCCAACAGGATGAATTTAAAAGGAAGCACCCATGGGCACATTACTTGTGATCTTCCAGAACTCCAAAGATTAAAAGATATTCAAAGGTTCCACAGAGGGCTGAGAAAAGAAGATTGCATACACAGAATGTAGAATCAGAAGCATTGATTGTGGGGTTTTTGTTTGTTTTATTATCAACACCAAATAGTAGAGCAATGCCTTTGGGGTTCTGAAGGAAGCTTTTTTCAACTTAAGAATTCTCTACCCATACGAACCATTAATCAAGTAGAAGGGAAAGACAGAGAATTTTTCATTCTGACCAATTTACCTCCATACACTCTTTCTTAGGAAGTTACATGAGTGATGACAGGTGTGAGAGTAGTGTGAGGCAACCCTCGTCACTCACAGCAAGCCCTCACTAGAAAGTATTGAGATTTGATAAATCAAGAAATAGCACTATATGTGATTTATTTGGCCACATGGAGCTAACCGCCAGAATGATTAAAAACAAGTTATGAGCGTGTTAACTTCTAGAAGATGATAGCAGGTGGTAGGGAAACCCTTCTGTACCATTTTATTTTGTAACTATTCTCCTATCCTATTTTGGAGTAGTTTTTTAATATACTGCCAGAATTCCAATTAAAATTTTTGTATAATCTTCTGTTGTTTTTTTTTTCAATTTCTGTTTCTCTGTGTATACAAATTACTTACCGTCCACTTCCTCCCCCATCTAGGTGTTCTTTTGTGTTCTGTGCAGTCCTCCTTGAACTAAATTACCTGCACCTGAAAAGAAAAATAGACATTCAGGGATCCATTAAGGCAATATCTAATACCACAAAAGTTAGACACAAATCCTGTCTTCACAAAGCTTACATTCTAGAGGAAAGAGATAATAAACAAAAGTAATGATGTTGGTGAATGCCCTGAAAAGTGAGCTATCAAGAAATCTAGAAATATTTGGTAGAGGCACCATAAACTGATCTAGGTGGATCAATAAATTCCACTTGAAGTCATGTTGGTCTAAGTACAACATCTTCAAATCTGTATCCCAGCCCTCACTGGTTTGGCTCAGTGGATAGAGCATCGGCCTGAGGACCAAAGGGTCCCAGATTCATACTGGTCATGGGCACATACCTTGGTTGCAGGCTCCTCTCCAGCCCAGGCCCTGGTCGGGGCATATGCATGAGGCAATCAATCTATCACATTAATGTTTCTCTCTCTTTCCCTCTCTCTTCTACACCCCCTAAAAATCAGTGGAAAAATATCCTCAGGTGAGGATTAACAACAACAACAAAAAGCTATACCCCAACCCAAAGTTAGAAATAATCGGCATTCAATCTTATTTCCAAATTCCAAAACATAGGGGTAACATCTAATGTGCCCTCCTCACTTCCATATTCTGCCACTTTCTATTATGGAAATTCTATGGATATCATTCAGAGGAAGTATTACTTCCTTTTCATGAACAAAAGTCTAAAATACTTAGGTTCAGTTCCTGTAAAATGCTTGCATGAGAATATATATAAGGTTATAAATACATCCCCCGGTACATTATATTTAGCTAAATAGCAAATAAAGTGCCAAGTGGTTCCTTTCAAATAAGTCCAATGAGCAGGTGGTCCTGCTTTTTAATAAGCCAAATGCTCTATTTCTAATTCCTAAACTGCAATGAACTCACTTGAAAGATTGCTTAGCATTTCAAGCATTTTACCACTATAATATCAAGTCCTTCTTTTTTTTTTCTTTTAATTTTTTAATTGCTTAAAGTATTACAAAGGGTATTACATATGTGTCCTTTTTTTCCCCTGCCCTTGACAATCCCCTGGCCTCCCCTACCCCCCAGTGTCTTATGTCCATTGGTTATGCTTATATGCATGCATACAAGTCCTTCAGTTGATCTCTTACCCCCTTCCCTCCTGCCCCCCAACCCTCCCCGGCCTTCCCGCTGCAGTTTGACAATCTGTTTGAGGCAGCTCTGCCTCTGTATCTATTATTGTTCAAAAGTTTATAATGGTCTCTATTATCCATGAATGTGTGAGATCATGTGGTATTTTTCCTTCATTGACTGGCTTATTTCACTTAGCATAATGCTCTCCAGTTCCATCCATGCCATTGCAAATGGTAAGAGTTCCTTCTTTTTTACAGCAGCATAGTATTCCATCGTGTAGATGTACCACAGTTTTCTAATCCATTCATCTACTGATGGGCACTTAGGCTGTTTCCAAATCTTAGCTATGGTGAATTGTGCTGCTATGAACATAGGGGTGCATAGATCCTTTCTGATTGGTGTTTCTGGTTTCTTGGGATATATTCCTAGAAGTGGGATCACAGGGTCAAATGGGAGTTCCATTTCCAGTTTTTTGAGGAAACTCCATACTGTCTTCCATAGTGGCTGCACCAGTCTGCATTCCCACCAGCAGTGCACAAGTGTTCCTTTTTCTCCACATCCTCTCCAGCACTTGTCGTTTGTTGATTTGTTGATGATAGCCAGTCTGACAGGTGTGAGATGGTACCTCATTGTTGTTTTGATTTGCATCTCTCAGATGATTAGCGACTTTGAGCATGTTTTCATATGTCTCTTGGCTTTCTGAATGTCCTCTTTTGAAAGGTGTCTATTTAGGTCCTTTGCCCATTTTTTGATTGGATTGTTTATCTTCCTTTTGTTAAGTTGTATGAGTTCCCTATAAATTTTGGAGATTAGGCCCTTATCAGATATGACATTGGCAAATATGTTTTCCCACGCAGTGGGTTTTCTTGTTGTTTTGTTGATGGTTTCTTTTGCTGTGCAGAAGCTTTTTATTTTGATGTAGTCCCATTTGTTCATTTTCTCTTTAGTTTCAACTGCCCTAGGAGCTGTATCAGTGAAGAAATTGCTTTGGCATATGTCTGAGATTTTGTTGCCTTTGAATTCTTCTAGAATTTTTATGGTTTCCTGTCGTACATTTAAGTCCTTTATCCATTTTGAGTTTATTTTTGTGTATGGTGTAAGTTGGTGGTCTAGTTTCATTTTCTTGCATATATCTGTCCAATTTTCCCAACACCACTTATTGAAGAGACTATCTTGGCTCCATTGTATGTTCTTGCCTCCTTTGTCAAATATTAATTGAGCATATTGGTTCGGGCCGATTTCTGGGTTCTCTATTCTATTCCATTGATCTATATGCCTGTTCTTGTGCCAGTACCAGGCAGTTTTGAGAACAGTGGCTTTGTAATACATCTTGATATCTGGTATTGAGATCCCACCTATTTTCTTCTTTCTCAGGATTGCTGCAGCTATTCGGGGTCTTTTTTTATTCCAGATGAATTTTTGGAGAGTTCGTTCTAGATCTGTGAAGTATGCCGTTGGTATTTTAATGGGAAGTGCGTTGAATTTATAGATTGCTTTGGGTAGTATGGACATTTTAATGATGTTGATTCTACCAATCCATGAACACGGTATGTTCTTCCATCTGTTTATGTCTTCCTCTATCTCTTTTTTCAACGTCCTGTAGTTTTCTGAGTAGAGGTCTTTTACCTCTTTAGTTAAGCTTATTCCTAGGTAGCTTAATTTTTTTGGTGCGATGGTAAATGGGATTGTTTTTATAATCTCTCTTTCTGAAAGTTCACTATTGGTGTATAGAAATGCCTCAGATTTCTTGGCATTAATTTTGTATCCTGCTACTTTGCCAAATTCATGTATTAAGTCTAGTAGTTTTTTGATGGAGTCTCTAGGGTTTTGTATGTATAATATCATGTCGTCTGCAAATAAGGACAGTTTTACTTCCTCTTTTCCAATTTGGATGCCTTTTATTTCTTCTTCTTGCCTAATTACAATGGCTAATACTTCCAGTACTATGTTGAACAGGAGTGGTGAGAGTGGGCATCCCTGTCTTGTTCCTGTTCTTAGGGGAAATGGTGTTAGTTTTTGTCCATTGAGTATGATGTTGGCTGTGGGCCTGTCATATATGGCTTTTATTATGTTGAGGTATGATCCTTCTACTCCCACCTTGCTGAGAGTTTTTATCAAAAATGGGTGTTGGATTTTGTCAAATGCTTTTTCTGCATCAATTGATATGACCATGTGGTTTTTTTCTTTCAATTTGTTTATGTGATGTATCACGTTTATTGATTTGCGGATATTGTACCATCCTTGCATCCCTGGAATAAATCCTACTTGGTCATGGTGTATGATCTTTCTGATGTACTGCTGGATCCGATTTGCTAAGATTTTGTTGAGGATTTTGGCATCTATGTTCATGAGGGATATTGGCCTGTAATTCTCTTTCATTGTGTTGTCTTTACCTGGTTTTGGTATTAGGGTGATGCTGGCTTCATAGAATGAGCTTGGAAGTGTTCCTTCCTCCTGAATTTTTTGTAGTAGTCTGAGGAGGATAGGTTTTAGTTCTTCCTTGAAAGTTTGGTAAAACTCCCCTGAGAAGCCATCTGGTCCTGGGCTTTTGTTTGCTGGGAGCTTTTTGATGACTGCTTCAATTTCTTCCATAGTTATTGGCCTATTGAGATTTTTAGATTCTTCCTGATTGAGTGCTGGAATGTTGTATTTTTCTAGGAATTTGTCCATTTCCTCCAGGTTGTCTAGTTTGTTGGAGTAGAGCTGTCCATAGTATTTTTTAACAATCATTTGTATTTCTGTGGGGTCTGTTGTTATTTCGCCTCTATCGTTTCTGATTTTGTTTATTTGGGTTCTCTCTCTTTGCTTCTTGGTGAGCCTGGCTAGAGGTTTGTCAATCTTGTTTATCCTTTCAAAGAACCAGCTCTTGGTTTCATTGATTTTCTGTATTGTTTTTTTGGTCTCTATGTCATTTATTTCTGCTCTAATCTTTATTATCTCCTTCCTTCTGCTCACTCTGGGGTTTTCTTGTTGCTCTCTTTCTAATTCTTTGAGTTGAAGAGTTAGATGATTTACTACCATTTTTTCTTGTTTTTTGAGATAGGCCTGTAGAGCTATAAACTTCCCTCTCAGGACTGCTTTCATTGTGTCCCATAGGTTTTGGATTGTTGTGTTTTCATTGTCATTAGTGTCCAGGATGTTTTTAATTTCTTCTTTGATGTCATTGGTAACCCAATCAATATTTAATAACATGCTATTCAGCTTCCAAGTGTTTGAGTATTTTGGGTTGTTTTTATTGTAGTTTATTTCTAACATTATGCCATCGTGGTCTGAGAAGAAGCTTTTTATGATTTCAATCTTCTTGAATTTGTGGAGACTTTGCTTGTGACCCAATATGTGGTCTATTTTTGAATATGTCCCATGAGCACCTGAGAGGAATGTATATTCCATGGCTTTGGGGTGAAGTGTTCTGAAGATGTCAATTAAGTCCATCTGATCTAGTGAGTCATTTAGGATTGCTGTTTCTTTGCTGATTGTTTGTCTAGCGGGCTTATCCAGTGGTGTCAGTGGTGTATTAAAGTCCCCTACTATGATTGTATTGTTGTCGATCTCTCCTTTGATATCTTCCAGGAGTTTTTTTATGAATTTGGGTGCTCCTGCATTGGGTGCATATATGTTTACCAGGGTTATATCTTCTTGTTGTATTGATCCCTTTAGTATTATGAAGTGGCCTTCCTTATCTCTGGTTATGGCCTTCACTTTGAGATGTATTTTGTCCGATATAAGTATTGCTACCCCAGCTTTCTTTTCCTTTCCATTTGCGTGAAAGATATTTTTCCATCCCTTCACTTTCAGTCTGTGTGAGTCCCTTCTAATGAGGTGGGTCTCTTGTAGACAGCAGATGTATGGGTCATGTTTTTTTATCCATTCAGCCACTCGATGTCTTTTGGTTGGA